CCTAAGATAGCCTATATTACTGCTATTAAGTGTACGCATATGCCTAGCCTTCTACTAGATCTAACTTAGTAAGGTTAGAACTATCTAATACTCTTGCCTATTATGCAAGTTCTTAACAAGTAAGCTTCTTAAGCTCTTTATTGTTTAGCATTTTATTATTAAACAGACCTGCGTTCTTATTAGACTCGTCTAAGGCTTTACTAGGCTTATTATCTAAGCTAATCTAGGTAGGCGAATTATCCTTCTCTTGTCTAGAGCTATCCTTAGAGTCTAAACTTAGTATAGTCTCGCTTAATAGCTTCTTCTTCTTAGCCTTAGGTATAGTTAACGTCTTGCTCTTGCGCTTAGTTGTAGTCTTAGAGAACGTCTTCTTAGTCTTACGCCTGCGCTTTAGCTGCGCTGTCCTAGCAACCTAGTTAGTATAATAGATGTAACTAAGACAAATCTTACACTTACACTATCTAACACGCCTTAATAGAAGCGTTTAAGAACAATCTAATTATACAGCAATCTAATGCCTCTGTAATATCTAAGCAGACTATACAGTTAGCTAAGATTACACTAAGACTAGTTCTAACCTACCTTATTAATTAGGCGCACAAGTCTCGCACCTTACTCTAAAGAAGTTGCATTAAGCGCAAGCAATTACTACTCTTAGACAACTATTATCTTAAACTGCAATATTAAGATCCCTGTTGTTGTTTTCGCTCTACAACTAATTAAGTTAATAAGATGTAACTAAGTTATATTCTAGATATACTTACCTCTACCTTATTAATTAGCGCTATACGTATCTTAGCGGCCTTAGTCTGCTAGTAGAACGCCTAGTAACGTTAGCGGGGCCCTTACAAAGATGTGTCTAAGTCTTTACCTAATTTATTAGGTCTTTCTTGTTCTAACTCTACCCTATAGAGTATTAGACTAGCAGTATAGTTATTCTCTAGACACTAGCAGTATAGCGCTTATTTACAAGACAGTAGTATGCTAAGCGTATAGTTAGATATAACCTAGATTAAACTGCTTGTACACTATACCTAAGACCTTATTGTAAATAGAGGGTAGTAAGAGCCCTAAACTCTGCTTAATCTCTCTAAATCTAGCTCTCTTGTACTATATTATATTAATAGAATGTTAAGAGAATACTAAGATAAATCTAAGCTTACGTTTGCACTATAAAACTTTTAGACATACAACACAGCAACGTCTTTACTGCTAAATATAGTCTATTATAATATAAGTATAAAACTAAAGTAAGATATAACTAAGTCTCTACCTTAATAGAGCACATGCGCGGCTCTAAATTAGGCTTATTAATATTTGCAATAGCTGTGCAGTAGCGTAAGCTGCAGATAATATAGAATAAGCTATCCTTCTTTTAGAGTGTTAGTATAGAACTAAACTAAGTAGTATCTCTACAATATACTATTAGTAACGCAGGCATTAGATTAGGCTGCAAGAGATGCTTTAGATACGTTAAGTAGTGCTGCTATAAACTCTATTAGCTGTACAGTTTTAACTAAGTATAAACCTACTTACACTATTAGTAAGAGAAAGCAGTTCTTCTATCTTAGCATCTTCTTCTAACAACTGTTTCTTAATCTCCTTATCTTTAATAACCTAACCGCTAGCATTCTAGCCCTCTTCTAGACTATTCTTAGTCTTATCTTCTTCTATAGCTGCCTAGAGCGCAACTATATTCTGCATAGCCTCGTCGCTAAACATAGTTAGGTTGTCCTCTTAAACATACTAGTTAGCTATCTCTACAGTTTATGCTGTAGCTAGTGTAGTCTAAGATAGATCTTAAACTAGCGTAACTAGAGATAATACGTTTAGTTCCGCCTCTGCAGCAACTTAGAATAGAGTTATAAAGCTATATACTATAGCAGGTATAATCTTAGACAAATTACTAGTTAGCGTAGCTAGAGATAATACAATTAGTGCTACTTCTTTAGCAACTAGAGATGCAGCTACAACGTTATTCTTAGCGCTTAAACTAAGATTTAACTAAGTAGTGTCTACTTCTTCTGCACTATTCGCGTGTAACGTAGATTGTACAGACTTTAGATTAGTGTACGCTAGCTTGTTAAATATAGAGGACAGAGAGGAGGACAACGCTATAATAGTTAATACTTAGTCGCTACTATTAGATAGTAGCCTATAACTATTAGAGGTGCGAGTAGTTGTAAGAGAAGAAGTAAGAGTTTATAAGACTGTATTACAACCTAAAGGCTAGGCCGACGCTAGTAATCTTGCATAGACTACTAGTGTTGTCTAATATTTATATTAGACTGCAGAACAAACTTAGATATAACCCGTACAGACTTATACACTCTACTGCATACACCTTCTCTGCTAGTAGCTATAGGTTTGCGTACTAGTTGTACTACAGAATGCAACTTAGTTATTACTCGCTACCTAATACACTACTACTATAACTATTATCTTTAGTGCTAGCAGATACTACTTAGTCTAGACCTACTAAGCATTGTTGTCTTCTGCCTACAATCTACAAGCCCAAGCCTTACAATTATGCTTAGCCTAGGCCTTTACAGCGCTGCAGATCCATTAGTTAAGATATATCTTAGTTTACTCTCTGTTTACACTTATAGTGTAGTAGTCTTCTTACAGCAGGTAGCGACTAATACTGCAGTATATTTTAGTAGAACAATACACGCTAGGTTATTAGCTATCTTAATGTTAGAGCATTCTACAGCAGTTAGGCAAGTATAAACTAAGAGTAATCTTAACTTACTACGGCCTTTAATATTAGCACAGACAGAACACTAGCGACGCAACTTAGGTAAACTAGCGTCTTTCTAGGCTTAGAGATAAATAACTTTCTAATTATTATTAGCAAGAGACATAACTAGAATTTGTCTAATGTGCACTTACGCTATTGCAGAACGTAGGCAGATCTAGAGTGTTATTAGGAATGTAAGCTGCTATTTCTCTTAGGCGGATAGTCTATATAGAGATTTAGCTAAGTTAAAACTAAGAGTTATCTTATACATACCTCTTGTTCTCTAAGACGCTTGTTTTAGAAATTATTATTAGAGAAAAGTAGCAGCAGATCTTAGTTAAACTCTAGTATTATAAAATAGCAGTACCTAGCAGGTTAAGGCTTAGAAGCGTTCTGCTATTTGTTCTAAGCTCGTAGCGCATTCTTTGCAGCCTAGCGCTCTATTATAATATTAGTGCGCTTGTTTACAGTCTTGTAAAATTCTATCTCTATTAGACTAGTTTTGTCTAAGATATGTCTGTATTGTGCTTACCCTCTATATGTTAAAGCCGGAGTTCTTTAATCTAGCTAACAACCTAGTTAAGGTGCTTATAGCTAGCAGCCTTGTACTAGTACCGCTTAGCATAGGCAGACTACACTAAGTTTAGACTAACTTACAGCAGCTCTGTAGACCTCCTTAACATATAACATAACTACTTCTAGAGTAACAAAGATAAACTTGTACAAGTGTTAGCTGTAATTAGACTAAGTTTGCTCTAGCAGCTTTACCTTTTTATAACATCTTCTCTCTAGATTTCTAGTGCTAACGTTAAGATTAGCGGGACAGTAAAGGGTACCCTTAACAATCGCGTAGGTATATAACTTCTTATTCTATGCAGTATTAACTTAGACTTGTCTAGTATTTCTAGAAGACAACTTATAAGAAAGACGTAGAGAAGGCTAATAGAGCGGGTCTTGCTTACTACGTAGATAGAGTAGTAGTGCTACGTTGCTGTAAGTACAGACTTATCTAAGATTTGTCTAAAGTTACCTGCTTCTCTAAGACAGCTGTACGCCTACCGCGCTTAAGGTTAATCTTAACGTTGTCGCTATCGCTGTTACCGCCGCTAGCGCTTATATTAGCGATAGATAGTACTAAGTCTTAACTAGTATAGGCTTTATAGGTTCTTACTACTAATATTTGCTGCGTAAGTGTAGTAGTAGTAGTGTAGTAGAGTAGAAACAATAGTTGTAGACTAAATATAGAAGTAATAGACTAGCGCTACTAGCGTAGATTAAGCGAAGGACAGCTTATGTTGTACCCACTTTTTTTAGAGACAGCTTAGTTAAATCTTAAGAACAGCCGAGCTCTACTGTGCATCTACCGCTACTAGTCACGTGTCCGAAGTAAGCCTTAGGCTTTAGTGTTTTTTAACTATAGAAACTTAGAAAAATCTTAACTTAATAACTAAAGTATACTATTATAGTTATATACTACTCTAGTACTTAGAAAGAATAAGTAAATAAAATCTTTACACTTATACGTTAATTCTTCTTTATTTATTTATACAACTCTATTAAAATAGTAATATAAACCTAATTAGATACGCTTGCGTATATATTACTATAGGCACCTAGCGCTAATAAATATAAATAATTTATTAATGCTAACCTCTCTAAGAGAAAGTATCTTAACTATACTCTTAGGTATAAGTACGCTATTAGCTATACGCGTACTATAAAGCTTTAAGTAATTACTTATTATAAAGTTATAGCTAAGTCTATTTCTACTAATATCTCTACTAACTTTATACTATAGCTTTTTACACGTAAAGAGCTTATAGCTTTAAAATAACTTTACGTAAGAGTTTTTACTAATAATACTATATCTACTAAAAATAAAATTATTAAGATGCTTATATATAGAAGTTAAAAGAGAGTATAGAGATAAGTAAAACGTATCTTAGTTCTAGTTTAAAGTAGGTAAGAAGAATAAGCAGATTAAGTAGACTAGTAATTAATAAGCTCTTAGGCATGCTCTAACGTCTTCCGCAGCGTGACATTAGGCACCGCTACCAGCATCGCCTCTTATACGAACTGCATTACGGGAGCTGTGCCCAAACAGGCAGTAGTCAAGAAAAGCGCGATGCTTGGATTAACGATTAGTCGTATCGCAACCTATGCTACGAAGATGGTGCAAGTCAAAAAGCGCACGTAGTCCAGCAATAGTAGGCAAATCGACCTTGATTTCCACACGCCGCACGAACAGTTCACAGGCAAAATGCAGTTCTTCACCCGCATCACCGCGCTCGCTGCAGCTGCAGCCCCTTTCCTGGCCCAAGCTGCTCCCGTCGTGGCGCCTCCAGCAAACGAGATCATCCCCGGAAAATACATCGTTCAGCTGAAGCCTGATACCGACGTTGCATCCATCGCAGCCCACCACAACACTGTGCGCAGCATACATGCCCGCAACCTCGCTCGACGAGGCGACGATGGCCCCGTTGGTGCTCCAGTGGACCGCGAGTACGGGTTTGGCGACTTCAAAGCCTACGCTGGGTCATTCGATGAGGCGACCGTTGAAGAGCTGAAGGCTCTCCCTGAGGTCCTCACCATTGAACCAGACTTTATCGTGAGGATCAACGCGGTGGTGACTCAAGCGAACGCACCGTGGGGTCTAGCCAGCATCTCTTCCCGCAAGGCAGGAGCCACTTCATACGTGTATGATGACAGTGCGGGCAAAGGCACCTTCTCTTACGTTATGGGTAAGTCACGAAACTGATAAATACATTGACTTGGTATTGACATTATGTTCAAGACACTGGTGTACGTATCAGTCATAGCGACTTCGAGGGACGAGCCACTTGGGGCTACAATGCCGTGAGAGGCACCGCCGACGCCGACAACGAAGGCCATGGAACGTAAGTCACACTCTCTAAGACATGTATCTTCACATCCTGACAAGTCCTAGGCATGTAGCTGGAACCGTGGGTGGCGCCAAGTACGGTGTTGCTAAGAAGACCAACATTATCGGCGTGAAGGTTCTGGACAGTGACACCGGAAGCGCATCAGACGTCTTCGCCGGATTTGACTGGACGGTCAACGACATCGTTTCCAAGGGCCGCCAAAACACCGCCGTCATCAACGTCTCCCTTGGCTCTTCCGCGTCAACAACATGGGACGCTGCCATCACTGCAGCCTGGAAGAAGGGCGTTCTCGTCGTGACATCGGCAGGAAACGAGGATTCCCCTGCTATCAACAGCTCGCCAGCTCGCTCCCCTGAAGTCATCTGTGTTGGAAACATCGAAATCACCAACAAGAGGCACAGCGGCGGTGGAGGTTCCAACTACGGCGCTGCGGTCGACATCTTTGCTGCTGGAACAAACATTGTATCGGCATCCAACCTGGGCGACACAGAGACGAGGACGCTGACCGGTACTTCCATGGCATCTCCTCATGTAGCGGGCTTGGTCTCGTATCTTCGTGGTCTTGAAGGGCCGTCAACTGCTGCCGATGTCAAGGCGAGGGTGTATGCGCTAGCTACGCCCAATGTTGTTACGGATCCCATGGGCTCGGTGAACCTACTCGCGTTCAATGGTAACAGCAAGTAGTATCCATGGACGAACTGTTGTGAGACATTTGCTGACTTCGCACGTCCATCTTTAGGCAGGGTGACTACCGTTGGGAGCCCGAGCAACGGTACCGAAAGCACGAGCGAAGGTACTGGAATCCAGAGTAAGGGTGTTGTAAGCCCAGGCAACGGCACAGCAGTACCTTGCAACGGTACTGTCGAAGCACGGAGCTCATGGAAGCTGTGGTAGTTCATGATAATACTATTGGAACATTGACCGAGCGAAACACATTATGCAGTATTGTATCTTCGACTATTCTCATTTACACATACCATCGACCCAGGCCATAGTGCAATTCATGCACCATTTTTAACTCTGCGCCGACTGACACGCACGTGATTAAGCCCGTTTGCTCTTTCCTGAAACGCACGCGTCGCAACCCCACCGCCCTCCTGTAAGACGCGAAATCTCTGCTTCGGCACCCTTGTTACTGATTACTGTCTCTCACCACGCCCACCATATTCGCACAGTCTAATGGACCCGGTGCGCAAGGTCAGTGAGAGCGAGTCTCGACTTCAGCGTGAACGCGATGCTGCTCTTAGCAACGCTGAGGAACAGAAGCGAAAACTGACCGATCTATACACCAAAATCGGACAGCTGTGGGAGGAGAACCATACCCTCAAGGAGAATATCAAATCCTCGTCGAACAAAGAGAAGAGGACGGAAGAGCTTTGCGAGCCATGCAAGGCCAAAGATACCGAGATCGCTCAACTCCAACAACAACTCGACTTAGCAGGTGAGTCATCCGAAGAGAACAAAGACATTGGCTCTCGAACTCAGGAGTGTAACCTTGCGTTGAGTATAAAGACGAACGACTTGTTTACAACAGCTGTAGAAGCCAAGACCGATCCCGACGAGGACGCCGCACAGGCCGGATTACGTATCGCATATTTCAAAGCAGAGGAAGATTTGCGGACCAAAGACCTCGCGCACGCCGCGGAGATAGTGAAGATTAAAGAAGAGCATGGCATAGTCGCTACTCGCCTCCACGAGGAAGTGCGTGATGCTCGCACAACCACTGATAAAGAGCACGCAGAGAAGCTATGTACGCAGGAACAGCTTGACAAAATCACGCAAGAGCTCTCCGACACTAAGAAGCAGCTCTTCGACTCGGAAGAGCAGTATCGGATACTCTACGATATGATACCCAAGCCGGGAGGCGGTAAGATGGTAGAGCCGCACCCCTCAACCAAGCCGCGGTTGAGTCAAAGCAGAGAGATAGACAGCTCCTCGTCTTCGGTAACGCCCTTTTCGAGGCTGGGGCGAACATCTCGTTCGCATGGTAGTCATGGCCAAGGCCATGAGGTTCCTCCGTCCCCGTCACATACTTCTAATAGCTCGCGATTCAGCCTGGAACAAGACAGTGAGTAGCGCATGCTTCCCCCAAGCCTAAAGTTCCACCAGCACTAACATGATGCCCAGCCCTCAACGAATTTGAGATTGCGCCCACATCAACCATCGACAAGCGATCGCACGAACTTGACCAAGATCAGTCATCGACACAGCGATCGAACAAGCGGAAGAAAGACGTGTTATCATCCCAGAGAATGCCGCCTATCTTCTCTGCCGATGACATAACTTGGCTATTCTGCGTCTTGGGCGCAGGCGGAATTAGCTATCATAAGCTCCACGAATTGTCTCCCGACGCTCAAGAGAAAGTTATAGAAAGTTTCCAGTCCTATTTCAGCGCCAAGAACGACGCCCAATATGACGCAACCCAGGCCATCCACCACAATACCTATGCCAATATGGTCAGGGTTAGTAATCGGCCGGCGAATGAGAAAAAAGGATGCTGTGTGCAGAATTTCGTGATTGCAAGAGGGAAAGTATCAAGCATTATGCACCAGGTTGGCGAGTGTGAAGCTTGCGGCCCATGTCAGCGCAAAGGCTGTCCGTGCGCCAGGATCATTGTCCACCACGGACAGTGGGCCCTATGTTGGTACCGGCAGGGCTCAGGTGCGTCTTCGGGTACCGAATGGCAAGATGCAGCCTACTGGATACGATAAACATTGTGAAGTCGTTATCTCTCACCTGAGGGAGGTTTCAGATGTGTACGCTTCGAGATGGAGTGTCCAATCAGTATCATACAGTCAATTTTCATTTCGCCCGCAGATAGAATGCACATATTAAGAGCATATGGTGATCAGGCCCTATGAGAGTACTGAAGACTCGTCGCGTGCACAGTATTGGGTCATAAAAGTCGGATTTTGGACGACTATGAAGTAGATAGGGTGTATGGATTGCCTAAGATTGAACTTCCTTCCATGCGAGATGCTGAATCGAGACCACAGCATATTCAGTGCTTACATGGATGAAGCATCTATGGCCTCTACGCTGTGCCATCGTCTGCTCTAGCCAGTCGACGCTGAATGAGTCGCTGAAACAGCATCAACTCTGCGCGCTCGTCGTCGGAGGGCGGTGTTGGGAAATTTCCGCTGCCCAGAGTGACTCGAGCGAACGACTGCACAACAGTATCCTGGCTGCGCAGAACCCCACGATGAATGAACTTCTCGCTTACTGCCTTTGAGATGAACTCCCAGAGAGCAGTCTGCGACTCCCAAGGCTGTGGAGTATCGGTTTCTAGGCCACCTGCATACGTCCCGCTGATCCTGATGTATTCGTCTAGCATGGGCCTGTTGATGAAGACCTGAGGTACGCTGCAACGAGAGTCCAACTCGGTAGTTTCCGTGCAGAGTTGCACAATATGAGACATTAGATTCGGCATCGCGGCGTCCCGGTAGCGAATGAACGAGGCCTTGTAGATCGCATCGTCTTCTACAGAGTGTAGATGGATGCCATTTTGCTGCTCTTCAGTACTGCGGTAGAACATTCGATGAGCAATTGCAGCTACGCTATCACTAGTACAGACCGGGAAGGATCGGTATTGGCGTCTGGATTGCAACAAGAGCTTGTAGTAAAGTTGAATCCACGCACGCTGATCCGCGTTCCATTGGGTGGTCGGGGTGGCTGAGGTATCGAGGTTGTCGGTCATGGTGATAACTCTGTGTATTGATCGAAGGTAACGCCATACTGGCCTACTGCTTTATACGTCATGGTGTTTGTGAGGGACGGTGTCAAGTGGGTGTCATAACTAAGTCACGCTGGACTATAACAATCGCGCGGAACCACGTGAAGATTGCTTGTCCTACCACTACGTTACCACCATCTCACACTGTTCGCAGCATCCTCGTCATCTTTTTGGCATCACACTGTCAGAATCACCCTGTAAACTCAGTGCTAGGTAATAAAGGAAGGTTAGGTTTCATTGTAGCTAACATCTCGATAACCTGATCCAAACACCTCTTTCATCCTGAGCACGTGCAGAACCCGTCTAATCAGTGTCCGACTCATCATCCCCTGGGATCTCAATGGCTGCTTTCGGAAACCTTTCGCTCTTTGGGACAGAGTCGACGCCTTTGTCGATGAGTTTCTTCTTCATCGCCTTTGCACGCAAGGCCAGCTCCGTGATCGGCTTGTTCGCTCTCGTCTTGTTCCTCCGTATCGCGTCTTTTACTTGGCTTTGGACGCTCTCTGCACTGCGCTCTGATACTCTACCTCTCATCGCGCAATCTGCTTTGATATCGTCAGCAAAAGTCTGACATGTGACTATGCCTATGTTGCCTGATTCGAATTGATCTACACCATTATCCTTGCACCACATGTTGATGGAGCGCCAGAGGGCGTGACGTTCCATTTCGGTCCAGAGGCTTTTGGAGAACGCTTCCTCTGGTGCTAACACATCAGTAGACTGCATAGGCGGTGAGGCTAGATTTGGATGTAACTTTGCCGCTAGGTCCATGAGGAATTGCAGAAGCTCGCTATGACTCTCCACGTCTGTGTTGCTCTCATCACCTATGATATCTTTACGTATCTTGCGGTATGCGGCCAGATGATCCGACGTAACGGTTGTTCGCAAGGCTATTGGGTGACCGCCTGCTTTGATGAATGGGTCCAGTCGCCAATCTAGCCTCATGACCGTGTCTCTGGCCAATCTTCTCGTCTTGGCGTTGAAGAGGCCATCGTCGATACCAGGCCCGTCGTTAAAGTACATCTTGTATTGATGCACGGAGTGCCGTGGATGCCGCAAAACGACGGGCTCCGACGGAAGTTTCGTGGTAGCGTATAGAAGACCGTAATGCAGCTCGAACCACAAGTCCTCGTCGGACATTGGTGCTGGGACGTCTGTTTGATCTGCCAATTGCGCTTCTTGTCGGCGCTTTGCATACTCATTAGCAAGGTCTTCGCCGAGGGTACGGTCTTTCATGCATCCGAGGATGTACTCTTCCGTCATCGATGGACAAGGGCCCATTTGACGTTGGAGCTCAGCTAAGCATGCCTTTGTATCCTCGATAGTTGGCTCCAGTGCGTGAAGAAGGTACTGCAAGGCGATGGTTCGTTCTGACATCCCATCTTCCATCCATTCTGCGACAGAAGTTTGGTCAATGCCATGACGAGTAACACCGAAACGACTCAAGCGCGAAAAGACGTCTGCCGCTCCGCCCGATGAGTCTCGATACATCAACACAGTACCACTCCACTCGGCTTTGATGTGTTCGTCGCTAACACCCTCCTTGATCATGTCGTAGATGTGTAATCCATTCCAGTGCGGGTAGTCGCCGGCTTCAGCCTTGAGACGGGCGTAGAGTAATATTGCGTGTTTGTAGTGATCCTCTGAAGCCATGGTAGTGTGAAGTAACGATAGTCTGTCAGTAACTCATTCGATGACACTCGTCTTTATACTTGGAAGGATATCGAACTTCCTCACGCGCTTCCAGCAGCAAGCAACACGCGATACCTTTCCCGCGTGTTGATATCGATGCATGACCTTCTTCAGCATGTCATTTCGCGAGCCACACCTACATGCTTATTGTTTCCGTATTCGTCGCGCGAACGGCTCGTGGGTTAGCGGGTCAAATTAGCGATGCTGAGGGTTACTGGACTGTAAAGCATCGCAATATCGTGAGAGGGTTTCGACCATCCGCTTTAATCGAAGAAAGGATTTTCGTGGCCATGATGCACCCGTTTGCAACAGATCTACGTTTTATGTCGCGTATCGCGTACTGCGCAAAGGCAGCATGATAGCCTGCATACCTAGGTAGTTAAGTATTGAGGTCAGCTCGGGCTGGAATAGACGCAGTACTAGTAGCAGTAGCAGTACTGCCCAGAGATGGCATTGTGCACGTGCACCCTGTCGCACATATTTCGAGCGCTCTTTCGATGGACTTGAAGAATATGAGAGCATTGCGACGTGATGTAGAACGATGTTCAACAATAGGTAACGCGTTCGTGAAGGAAGTTTCCTGGTGTCGACGCGTCGGTGGTGACGTCATGGCGCGCTGCAAACCTCAGCCTCACCTTGGCGCCCGGCTTTGTCGTCTTCCATCATCACATCATCACTTCCTCACATACACTTACCCATCTGACTATCATCGCACACACGCACGACCCTCGTGGACGGACACAATCTCCGTAGGCAAACGCCCTCTATTTGCATAAGTCGGCGCGCGTCGTGAAGACACTCAGTAAGCACCACCAGCACATTTGGATATATATCTTTCATCTTTTCATTGCTATAGTCAAGGGCGACGACCCAAATGGGTATCTAACATCATTGTCTCGCAGCGCCACTCATACCTTACGCCATCTCCAGCCTGATAGTATCAATTCACGCCTCCCAGCTCATCGGACGTTGCCATGAAGTCGCATCTACAGTCGCCGGTCCCCCAACACCTATACAACATCTTGCCATCGAAGCCCGCAAACCAGGGCTCCATCATTCTCACCAGCTAAACTCCACTGCACATTTCCCTCATTTTCCAGGATCAAGATCTGTTACCTTAAACACATCCCGAGGCTTCAGCTCTGCCTCTGTCACCGTCTTCTTGGGATCGGCGTCCTTAGCTCTCAGCTTCCTAGCCTGGTCTATGATGCGCCCATAAGCGGCCTTCTTGTGGACCTGAGTGCGCACACCATCCATGCCGCGAGGGTTACCAGGATACGTGGCTGTATCCAGGGCCCTGTGTGCGTTCACGGCGTCGGTAGCCTCGTGGAAGATTGAACTGATATTGTTTACCCAGTAAATAAGACCCTTCTCGGCTATGATCTTGTTGAAAAGTGCGATGATGACCTCGCGCTCTGCTTTCGACCAGGCATCGTTCGGCTTACGGTTCGGTCCATGACCCCTCTTGGTCTTCGGCTTTGCGGTCTTCTGGGCGTTCTTCTGGATGGTCTTCTTGGCGCGCTTCTTCGGTGATGCTCCACCCTCGTCCTCTTCTTCATCCACGACGATGTCTTCCTCTTCATCTTCCTCGTTATCGTCACTCTCGTTTTCTACCGCCGTGTTCCGCCTGGTGCGTTTCGTACCTGTCTGCGTCTTTTTTGCTTTGTCGGTTACAAGGACTTTCCGACCGGACTTACGGATCGGTGGGGATTCGTTGTTGCCGTCGAGGGCGGCGGCGGGCTTCCTGACCCTCGTACGCGTCTGTCGTGTAGTCTCCTCAGTGGCTGGTGCGTCTTCCTCCGCTGGCGAAGCGCTCTCTGTATTCTCAAACTCGCCTTCAGGCGGAGAGCTAAGGGTAGAGCCTTCATACATGTCGTCATCAGTATATTCCGTACGGGTGCGATTCTCGTCCGCGTCTGAGCTGGTAGGACTATGTCCCAACGACTTGGGGAACCTTGCGCAAACGATCTGGTACAGGAAGTTGAACATCTTGTTGTTCTGTCTCGGGTCTTCGATCGGCAAATCGATGCCAATCTCTTCGCGGATCTCTCGGTACTTGTCGAAGACTTCCTGCTCAACAATCCACATCTTCCCTCTCATAAACTCCCCAGTCTTCATCGCCTTTCGTACCATTCCATCCGATATCGATAGTGTCTTGTGTACCAGCTCCTGCCGTTGGAGCAGGTATTCATCTTGGGTTCTCGAGGTCGTGGTAGGGTTGTCGTCGGAAGTGGTCTCGGTGGTGCCTTGCTGGGCGTCATTGAAGAAGCGGCGAAAGACGTAGTAGCCGCTCTGGCCTGTCGGCGGGAGTACTGTACAGATGTGCAAGTTGGCGGCGGCGAGAGCAAAGCCGGCTTGCAACTGGATGAAAAGGCGCTCGTCGACGCTCCAGGGAGTGCTCGCTACTTCATCAGGAACGTCTTGGGTGGGTGCGGGTATGTCTAGGGGACGGCTTTCTTCTGGAGACGCCGCATCTTCGATGCCCTGGGGAGTGCTCGCTGCCTCATCGGGAACTTCTTGGGTGGGTGTGAGCGTGTCTTGGGGGATGCTTTCCTCTGGAGACGCCGCATCTTCGATGTTGCGGGGAGTGCGCGCCGCTTCATCAGAAACATCTTGAGTGGGTGTAGATGCGTCCTGGAGGCGGCTTTCTTCTGGAGACGCCGCATCTCCAATGCTCAAGGGGGTACTCGCTACTTCATCGGGCACATCTTGAGTGGGCGCGGATGTGTCCCAGGGACGGCTTTCTTTTGCGGCGGGCGCATCTGGTAGGATGATGTCACTCATGATGACTATGCGAAGAGCTTTGGCGGACGATTCGTGTTGAATTAAGGCGCTTAGAGTGCGACAAAAAGTTGCGGGAGTCTTTATCGAGTTGATTGTAGGTGGTTGCTAACTTGTAGCAAATAATTACCGACTACTCACTGTTGTGATGGTCAGTGCGCGGTGGCTACTTTGAGTTTTCGAGCACGCAACGGATTAGCGCCACCGATTCGTGTCTTTCACTACATAGTTCAGCGTGCGCTGCTGACAGTCGAGTATCAGGGCTCATCAAGCTTACACTATGCATGCAATTCGAACTTAAATGAGACAGCAAACATCAATCATACCTACGACCTACGACCCCTCCGCGTCACTCTTATACCAATCTATAATCTCTTCATCTCCAACAACCAAGGAACCATCATTACCAGGCCGTTGCAAATTCCTAACACTTTCCACAGTCCAGCTCTCAAGCACACCAAACCTCTCCCGCAGATCCTCCAACAAAAACCGCGCTTGTCTCGTCGCCGGACTCTCCGAGCACTCTCTATACGACTCCGCAAACAAATCCCCGTCATCGTCACTATCGTCATCATCGCTATCACCCGGATGCCCAACACCTTCCCCTTCTCCCCCTTCTCCCCCTTCTCCGTCGCTATCGATGTTGGAAGCCCAAGGATTACCCAGTTGTTCCGGATTCCCATTCCCCGACCTCGAGAAGTTGGCATTCGAGTGCACACAGCCCTCATCCTCATCATCAGATAACTCATACTCCCTTTCTGCATCTTCATGTCGCTGGCGCCGCGTCTCCCTAATATGAGATTCTTTGACCAGGAAAGTTGAGAATCTGTTCCTCGATTCGTATCGCGGTGGTAAAGGGATACGGTTACCGTCCTCGTCATATACCCAAACGGGGGAAGCTATCTGACCCGGTACCCAATCTCCAATCCATTCACCGGTGCGGTCTCGCCCTTTTACCGTTCCATCGGCGCGCATCTGGTGTTCGAAGACGAGTCCTTCTTGCATGGTTGTTTCGCGCTGGTAGTGTGGTCTATTGTCGATTTTCTTGATACGCGCTCCGTTTCCGTCTTTCTTGTAGCCCAGAAACCTTTTTCTGCTTTTTGGATCGGAGGGGTCGTGTTCGGGGTCGCTGAGTGGTTCGTAGACGTGGTCTCGCGTTTTTGTGGTTTTGAGGATGGTGGAGACGGGGGCGTCGAAGGATGTGGGCCAGTTGAAACTTGTTTCGAGGCTGCCGTGGTGGGTTTTGTGACCTTCGGGTAAGAGGTTTATGGTCAGTGGGTTTTTGCTGTATTCGGTTTCCTTCTCGGCTCTTAATTTCTCGTAGGCCTTTTCGTCGATGCTCCATGTGATCGGCTCCATCCTACGGGCTCTTTCGAGTCGGATATCGAGCTTACGTTCGGCTTTCCTGCGACACCGTTCCTCGACCTCGTTGATATCGATTTGCTTCCTTTTTCTGCGGGGAAACCGCTCTTCGAGGTGGCGATAGCGATGTTGGTAGCTTGGTGTGGTTTGCGGTATGGTACCACGGGGCGGCTGACTGTACCGATGCGCATCTTGGGGGGCAACGACGGCAGGAATGCGCTTACGATAGCCTAGACGAGCTTGCTCGTACAGGGCGATCATGTTCCACATCCAACCGTTGTAGATACCTTGGAAGGGCTGGTTGTGGTATTCGATGTCTGTTCGGTTCGTGCTTTCTTGATCCGGAGTACCCACGGGGGCATCTTTGGCTTTGGCTTTGCCTTTAGTCTTTTTGGGCGCTTTTGCTCCCGGCTCTTTGCCCTCTCCTCCAACTCTCTCATTGGGTGTCTCCAGTGATGCAGGGCCCTTGTTCCCAGTTGGAACCTCCGAGTATATCTTCCCGGGTACGTAATATCTCCTATTCCACACGTTTTGGTAGTACAAGAAGTCCTCCCACGCTTGCAGCGCATGCCGATACTCAACAAATTTCCTCCATGTCTCATGTCTTTTGTGTAGTTCTGAGCAATTCACCCTCTCTGCAATCACAGCTTCTTCCATCTCCTCGCGCCGTATCGGATCATGTATCTCCCCCGTCTCAACATCAGTCTCCTCTTCGAACGCTTGCCATCGTTCCCAAGCTTCTTTCTCATATTCGTCGATCTTATCCCTAATATCTGGATCTCGAGCCTGCGCAGCGGCTTCATTCAGCCATTTCAGCAGCGCAGCCTTGGTTTCGACCATCCATGCATTGAACTCTGCCGGAGTAGATGGGTTGGACCAATTTTCTCGGAGAGTGGGATTGACGAGTAAAACTTGCGGAGTTGTGGCCGCAGACGCAGCTTCGGTGGCCGCTTTGTTCTTTAGTCTTGCGCTCTCTCGAACCATCGCGTCAAGCACTTCTTGGAGTCGCGTTGTGAAGTGGTGTGGGGTTATCGTGTATAGCGACGAGTCTTTCGAGTCTCGAGGACGGCAACGGCAATGTGTCTGTTTTCAAGGTCACAGCCTTCGCTTTGTCCCATTATGTCAAATTTCGGCACTTTCTGATACTCGGGGGCTTTATGTGCAACAAAGAGATAGTTCACGTATCGCACGAACGTGATCGCAACGAGTCGTAGCGCGGAATGGAATTCATTGTTATCCCTAGCATTGGACCGACCAATCCGGCAATCTCATGGGTCACGCCTTTACATCCTGTACCGCCGCTCAAAGTCTTTGCTCAGCGACCCGACACAACATCTTCTCTAGCACACGTAACTCTCTTAGAATCTTCGTTCATGTGCTCCGTCCCCAAACACCATTCCAATCAAGCACGTAATTTCTTATTTTTTATTGGAAAGACAGAGAGAAACGGAGAAGATGGGTATTCATGGGGAGAAAATGTAAATGTTGACATTAAACCCGTTGTGTATAATACGGCCCATCCATTCTCTTGCCACCCGTGGCAGAGAAGAAGCCCAAGAAGACATAAGTCCCTCTCTCTATATCTCGAGAGTAGGCGTGGTACTGGTCTCGAATACCAGATCGTATGAGTATATACACTGTACACCAACATCAACATCCCCTCCCTCAAACCTTCACCTTCCTCCCCTTCATTCCAGATCCCATTCCCCATCAGCGTCTATCAAAGAGCCCAGCCTAAGAGCCCCCCGCCGCATTACTACTAACCGTCCTCTTCCACCCACCCCACCCCCATCCTCCCCCCGTCCCCGCTGCCGGTTCTTTAGGAACAGGACTAGGCGTCACAGCCGGCGTTTGGGTAGGCGTCGCGAAGGGACTTCCTGACATCGGTGATCCGTTCCCACTATACCCCCCTCCCCCTCCTCCATTCGCTCCACCGCTACTCATAACACGCTTCATCCCCTCAAACCTACTCCTCATTTCCTCGAGTTCCTGTCTCGCGACCGCCTCCGCCGTTTTGGCGTTGACAAGTTCCAACAGAAGAGCTTCGCTGTCGGCGGGTGTGTTGTTTTCAGTCGCGAGTACCGATTGTGTAGCCAGTGAACTGCTTCGTTTGGAAAATGGGACCGGCGGCGCGGGGGAATTATAATAACCCCTTTCGCTTTTCTGGCTATTCGTTCTACCCAGCCGTAATTCCCTTAACCCGCTCGTGTTGATAGAATCACTCGTTGTGGAGCGCGATAGTGTGGGCGGTGTATCCGGCGCATTCCCACCACTATGATCCACGCCCGTCCAACTCGCAGCCGCAGACTGTTTCCGCGCATTCTGCCTTAGTTCTTGGATGTTTTTCTCGAGGCGCTGGTTTTGGTTGTAGCTATCTTGCAACCTGTGTCTCGTATCCTTCAGCGCGTCACGTGCGATTTGCAATTCTGCGTCGCGGTCTGAGAGATCGCGCGCCAGGGCGTTGGCGCGCAGGGTTTCGTTGGCGAGTTGCTCCTTCGTGCGAGACAGGTTGTCGCGGAGGAGGGCTTTTGTTTCGAACATGGAGGAGGCGCGGTGGTGGAGTGTGGCGGCTGGGAAGCGGCTTTCGAGCGTTTCGACGATTTCAGAGGCTTCTTCTGTTAGTTCGGGGGTGGAGGCGGCGTCATCGGAGGAGGAAGGGGGCAGTGTGGTTGCGGAGGTTATAGTTGTGCGGCGGCGGGAGGAACGGGTTGAGGGTGCGGCGAGGGTGGTGGTCTTTTTGCGGACTTTGTCGACGACGGTGCGGACGATGCGGTGGTCTTCTTTGCGGTCTTCGCGCTGCTTTTGGAGGGCGGCTTCGAGTTCGCTGTTTTGGCGTTGCAGTTGGCTTACCGACATGAGGAGTTGCTCGATTTGGTAATGTAGGTCCCGGTCTTTTGACGATGCGCCCATGGCCATGGAGCCGTGTCCCGACTTCATCGACAGCGCGTCGCCATTCGAGGCGCGCGAAATATCCGTCATGGCTGTGCTTTGTGTCGCAGCAGAAGCATCCGATTCGGCAGTAGAGTTGAGTGTCGAGGCGAGACTCTGCTTGGACGCCGAGCGCCTTAGGAAGCTAACAGGGCGTGAAGGCGCGGAGAGACCCGGGCTGAGTGAAACGGACTTGGTCGAAGAGTTGGAGGGACCCCACAGGCGGCCCAGGAAGCTCGTGGCAGATTTCTGGACTTGCTGCTTGGACGAATCCTTCTCCTGGGCCTCCTTGTACTGCTGCTCCAATCCCTGCAACCTTTCGCGCGTCACGTCGTTTGTGAAACCAACGAAATCACCGACCAATTCATCCGCTGACCCCGCGTTCCGCCCGTATGGGTCCCAGAGTTGGCGCCCCAAAAGCAACTGCATTACGTCCTCGAACTCACTCAGGGACAGCAGCTTTTGCTCGTTGCGCTTCATTAGCGCGAGGGCTACCCGCATGATCGTCTCGGATGCGCCCTCGGCAAATAGCACGTCGTAGATGCGAAACAGCATGGGTAGCGGACATGTGACAGCGAAGAAAGACAGGAACCATTGCGATAGATATGCGGACTGCACTTCTAGATCGTCGAGATGTTGGGCTAGCTGAGGCATGTGTTGGTGGAGCAGCTTCTGGAACTGGAAGATGCGCAGATGGAGGCCGGAGAGGTCCGGCAGGAAACATGAGCGTAGATCGTAGTCTTCCATGAGCCTGGTGTTGTTAGTCGCTGACGTTGTGAGGAAAGTGCGATGACGTACCTCACGAGCACGCAAAAGGCTTCCTTGTCGCCCATCTGCATGAGCAGCGGGCCAACGAGGAAACCAAGACCCTGGCAGTAGCCAATCTTGTGGTCATACAAGCTGAAGCACTTGAGCACGCGGCCGAGCATCTTCTGCCCCTCGCCTTCAGGGTCCTTGAACATCTCCACACCGGGGAAACTGCGTCCCAAGTCCTTGTTGATGATGTTCTCGTACGGACTCGACTCTCCGCACAGCGAGTCATATTGGTCCTCGATCAGCTTCTCCCTCGAGCCAGCTGCACTCTGCCAGACGACGCCCCGCAGCGGCGCTGGTATGCCTCCCCGAATCTTATTCAAGCAGAGCGTGGGCAGCCTGTGGACGGTCTGCGGGTAGTCGCGTACGAGGGCAGCCCAGAACTCGAGTTCGGTCATGGGGGGCGGCGAGGGCAGCTGGGAGAAGCGCATGGTGGAGGTGTCATCCGCCACAAGACGCTTGAGCTGGTTGAAGGAGGGGGGCCGGGACTGGCTGCGGGCGCGGGCGACCTTCATGTTGGACTTTGAGTTTGAGAGGATGGCTTCGTTCTCCTGCTCCAGTCGGGCGAGCAGCAGGGCCATGGCCTAGATATGTTAGCATTCGTTATTCATACAGGGGCCGTCTACACACCTCCTCCTCGCCCTCGGGCTCCTGTTCTTCCTTTTTCTCTAGCTCAGCCCAGTCGACCTCTTCGCTTTTTCCCGAGCCATTGCTAGTACGGCGCCCCCTGCAGTCTGGCGCTGCTGTCTTGGGGGAGACGGGTGCGTCGGTGTCCCGCACTGAGATGGTAGGGCTGGTTGGGGCGGGCGTGTCGACGCTCGATTGGCTCGCACGGCGTCCAAAGGCATTGCGGATTTCCGTTGAGTTGGTTCGTGATGATGCTCTTCGCTCCTCAACTATAATCTCTGGCCGCATCACCGATTCCCTCGCGCCTTCCTCTTCCTCTGGGGTTCTGCCGTCCGTCTCGGAGAGGGGCACTGTGACCATCGAGTCTGTCGGCAGCGGCGAGCTGTCCACGTGTGACCTGGGCGCGCGCTCGACGGCTTCTTCTTTCACCTCCATGGTGATGCTTCCGCTGGACATGTTTGCAGTCTTCACAGTGGTGGTTCGATATGACGGAGCGGAAATTTGCTCTCCGCCGCGGCAGGTAAGCAGACCTGTTTACCTGGGGCGCTCGGTTCGGTGGTGCTGGTGTAGAGCGTGTTTCACTTCTGTGGAATTAGTATCTGGCGCCGGCTTGAGTCGTGCACGCTGTGACTCTGTGGGTATTACTCTGCAGGCGGCATTCATGCAACAGAAGAAAGTCAGAGCGACGGCGCAACAGCTCACGGCAGCACGAAAAGAGCGCGACGGACCGCAAAAGAGGGAATGATTTCCCCAACGGCCTCGAAAGGAGCATCAAGGAGGCCCTGGACTAGGCCCGCAGCCGGCTAGCCCTCTTGGTCAGGGTCCACACTCGCCTTTGCTGCTTAATTTACGGCGGGACCAGCTGCTGCCCCTGGCCCCGCATCCCACCTACACCGACCTCACCTCCGCCTTTCCTATGGATCGAGCCCTTGATGCCACTGATTGCGCGACCAAGCGCTGATGTCACGACGCTGCCACTGGCAGCTGTCACAGCCATGCACGCGCAAATGGCGTGCACGAGGAACACGCGACGTAAACATGCGCGCCCACGCTAATTTCGGCGCCGGAGCCAATCACCGCCGCCCACCCTCCGCATCCTCCTCACCAAGACCTCCCTCCCTCCAACCCCCTCTGTCCGCATCGAGCGATTGCACTCCTCCCATGCCCTCTTGAGTCGGCAGCGTCCTCCGTCGTGCTTGGCATCGCTTAACCGGGACGGGTGGTAATAGTACCTCAACACCTCCAGGGATTAACAAGAGACTACTCGAGTGCCCCTGCAGACCGCCTCTTGCTACGGCACAGTTGCTCCACACGAACTGCCCATCTTTTCCGTCTCTCGCGCCGAACTAGATGTACTCGCGTAGTCTGAGTTCTGGATCGCGACGATCAGTGGTATTCTCCGCTGATGCTCGTCTACAGTTATCTCCGTCAACCACTACCGTGATCGAAATCTTCCATATGCTGGACATATATTACCACACATCATACCTGGCGGCTACACCGACTGCTGGACGCGATAGAACTCTATTCAATAGTGTCAACGTGCTTAATCATCATTGTTACATCCTAGTATGCTCCTGCTCGTGGTGTCTTGCACTTTGCTAAGAACGATCTTC